TATAAAATTGTAAACAAATTTGGATGTACAATGTTAAATCATCAAATATGTCTTCTATTAAATCAATATTAATTTTACAATATCAACAGCAACAAATTAATGACAATGACTTTAATATTTAAGCAGAATAGGCCTACATACTTGTATTAGTTTCTTTATCAATTAATATACAGCTTTAAAAACAGTATGTTGCTAAATGTAAGTTTAACGTGTTCTGATTGAATTTCAAACAATCAGAACACGTTAAACTGTTACATTTAGCAACATACTGTTTAAATTCTAGCATTTTACATTATATGATATAGGTGGAATTACTAAATTGTTTTTTTGAAATTGGATTTAAAAAATGTACAAAATTGGCCTAGATAATTAATTTAAGTGGCACATTTTCCATTCAAATGGAAAAGTCAATTTCTGACCCTGGTAAAGAACACTGATCTAGACTACATGGTAAAATAATCTAAAGTTGTGAAGCTGTGTCTCATATAATGTTGTAATTAGAACCATACAGGAAAATCGAAAAGTATCTACATGACACAGAAAGGGAAACTTTCAAGAATCACTCCAGTGATGTAAGTCCAAATAAGAAAATTAAACAGACACTTACAAAGGAAAAAAGCGGCTATGTTGTAAAATATTTTGGGATGTTGTAAACTGATGTAACATAGATTGTTTTATTACATTGAATGATTTATATTGAATGATTTCTCAGCTTTTAAAAAGCAAATAATTTTTATCTACCTTTAAATTGACTATGTTTGTTTTTTCCCTGTCTTAGAATAATGCTCGTCACTCACCAAATGTAGAATCCACCCTAACAGAAACAGTCCTTGAGGTAGACCTTTTGGAATAAATTATATGAATCTATTGATATAGGCTTGTTTTGTTTTTGTTTGTTTTTCTCTCACTGAATAATGCTATCCCATCTTTTAGAATATACTGTTACAACCAGAGTTTACAAGAGAGTCACTATCCACACAAAAACAGGTAAAAATATATATTTAAATGTCTTTCAACTCTTAGTAAGAAATGTCTACTAATGATCACCACAGACTGTTCTTCTGATTTTTATGAACTGATGTATTACCTTGTTTTAGGATTTGTCACACCTCCCCAAAAGGAAAGAACAGTCACAATCACCAAACTATGATGTGAGATCACTTCCTTTAAGAACAAATCCTCAATACTTCATTCTATACGTTTTAAGTAACATTCTCACTCATACTGTATTTACATTTAGTTAATTTTATACCCTCTTTCAGTTTAATCTATCAATTATATCTATCTTATCAGTTTTAATCTAAATTCAGTTTAATCTAGGGAAGTCTATATCCAAAGAAATACAGGTAAACATGACACATTTTATATGTTATTATCTTTTAGCATATTTTAATTACTATGTTTCGCTGTTGACAACTCAATGTATATATATATATATATATATATATATATATATATATATATATATATATATATATATATATATATACACACACACTGAAAAGTCTGGATCATTTTAGGATTACACCCCTATGTCACAGTCAACAGAGACTGCAGAAGAGGGGACTTAATCAGAAGTGAAGGTAAATAAAAAATGTACACATTTGTACAGTGGTTTTGGCTTACATTATACTATGTGCATTGTCTCTAAATGTGTAGAAATTATGAAATTATGATTTATTTTTTTTGTTACAGAGTACCAACAATGCCACTTCAGGTTCCTTTAATGATCATGTCACAGATATTAGCTAGCTGAACATCCTCGCATTTTCCCTGAAGCACAATGTAACGGGGTCTTTAATAGAGGACATTTTGAAGCTGTTAAGGTTATATAGTGGGGATGCCTCAACCATCCCACGTAGCAAGTACATGTTAGAGAAGGCATTTAAAGAGTTTGTAGACAAATCACGATACCACCATTACTGTGGTGTTTGCAGCTTTTACATTGGCCTTTGAGAGTCTAAGGACAGTGAATTAAAATATCAGATTTGCTCCACAACACAAACTGTGAGACAAAGTTTAGAGCATGGACAGTTTTTTATTTGTATACCTTTAAAGGATCAGCTTAAAGCTCTTTTTGAGGATAAACCTATAACAAATATTTACAATGAACAAAACTCAGATACTATAACAGATATCTCTGGAGGAGAGCTGTACAAACATCTAAAATCATTTAATGATTCTTTCTTTTCCCTCTCATTTAATTGTGATGGAGTGCCTGTGTTCCAGTCATCTAAATTCAGCATTTGGCTCTTACTATGTTCTGTTAATGAATTGCCCCCAGAGGAAAGAGATAAAAATATGCTACTTTGTGCATTGTGGTTTGGCTCATCTAAGCCCCTGATGACTAGCTTCCTCAAACCTTTTGTAGAGGAATGCAAAAGTCTTGGACAAACCGGACTTCAGTGGCAGGACCCAGAAAATCACTCAGTCAAAACCACAAAGGTCTATGCATTATGAGCTATTCGTGATGCTGTTGCACGTCCTTTACTGCAAAATTTCAAACAGTTTAATGGAGAGTATGGGTGTGGGTCTTCATCCGGATATTCAGGTAAGAAAAGGTAATGGGTCTGTGAGAGTGTATCCTTGTTTGGAAGAGGTGCCAGACCTTAGAGATCACAACACAACTGTGCAAATAGGTGAAATTGCCAAAACGAACACAGCATTTTAGGCATAAAAGGACCATCTCCAATTGTGGACTTGCGAAATTTTGACCTGATCAATGGCATGGTCCCTGATTACATGCACTTTGTGTTGCTAGGGGGTTTGCAGACAAATGTCTACTTTATGGTTTGATTCCAAAAGCTACTATATTGGTTTGAATACTGAAAGAGTGGATAAAAATCTTTTAGCAATTAAGCCTCTAAGCAGTTTTCCACGAATCCCACGTTCTATTGTTCAGCGACATTTTTGGAAAGCTCATGAATGGCAGAACTCATACACTGACTGTTATAGGGATGGTTGACAAACCAGAGGGCCCCTGGTTTTCCAATCTTCCAATAACAGGAATAAGTGCTAAAATGATTAAAATTAAACCTGAAGTGTGGACACTTCTAATAATCAACTAGGAATTTTTAAATTTGACAAATACCATCGGTTGTGGCCAAGCCTACACACACACAGAGACTCAGAGACACACACACACACAAACGCCAAACACACACATTATTATAGATATACTTTCATAATTATGGTTAAATAATGTGATTACTATCATGTATGACAAATATCTTCATGTTTTTTTCATTTTGAATATGAATGTCATTTATTTGAATATATTGTCATGATGATATGTTATATGATGAATACTGCCGGTTATACTGTTTTAATAAGTTGCACTGACCTTTTGATAATTTGTATTGACCGAATGAGCTGTGCATTCGAGTCAGGCTCATCAAAAGAGGTGAAAACGAACCCGGACCTGTTTAGCTACCTGCTGATTAAGAATTACAACTGAAAAATGCTGCAGAGACTGTCTTGAATTGCCCCTGAACGACCTCAACAAAGATACATCAGTGACCCCATGGACACAATATCTGACCCACTGGGTCAAATGAGGGTTAACTGTTAGAATTGAGATATTACAAATATTTTGATGTCTTTGACAATTCAAACATGAGCCGAAAACAGAGACAATTGACTCCACAACCCAGACCCACAAAGCCAGCTTCCCCTACATTTACATTTAAATCCCATGAATCTCGACTACAACCACCCCAAATCACACTATGGTCATTTCAAAGTCTAAATGTTCTAAATTAACCCAAGTGACTTTATCTATCATGTTTGATATCATTTGAAATGTTTCAGTGCGATTGGTACAATGGTCTCTTTCTCTCAGAAATAGACAATCAAAACAATAAATATATAATTTCAGGCATCTTTTGAACCACTGTGAAGGGTGTGACTTTCCCATGTTTACTTACGCTCCATGTTATGTATATTTTGAAGTCAGGTATGCATCTTTTCATCTTGGATTTATCTTTGATAATTTGATGTTTTGTATTGATCATGTTTTAATTGACTGATTGAGTTGGCATAATATATTTACCTGACTAATAAATTGTAATGTTTGACCATATTTTGCTCACTCTGTAATTATTAATTCAAGTAGATTACGCTGTATCCTTGTTTCCGCTTGTCTTGCGTCAGGTCAGTAGACGGACTAAAATCCAGTTGAGATGGAGCATTGGGCACACTAATTGTGTTTTAGGGATCCGACTGACTCTTGATATTGATTCAAGTGTACTTAGGTGGAAAGGGCGTTAACTTCCGTCTAGGACAACAAGGAGTTGCACGACTAACCTAGATGGGGTACCCGACCTTTGTTTGAAGGTAATATTATTTTAAATTAAGTTCATATGGGAAACCATGGGCTTGGTAAAAACCAAAGTTACTAATGAGTCCAGTAGTCGGGCACATTCATAATAATGCCCTAACCTCTAATTAGAAATGATGATTGTCTTAACTCAAGGGTGGACATCTAACAGTACTAACTAAAAGTACTTTAGAACGAGCGCGCTGGTAGCGGCCATCTAAAAGTATTAGTCAATTACCTCTGTTTAATATTCAAGACTGACTGGAGTGTGACTGGAGGGACGCCTTCGGCCGGGGCGATTTCTCTGAGAGACATGAGCACCCGAATGAACGGATGTGATAGTTACTAGTGAAGACAAACGGTTCAAACTTTTATCTAAATTACATATTGATATAATCTTCTTAATGTTTTATGATTGGAGTGAGATAAAACTAAAGATAAATATATTAATATTCTAAACCACCTCATACTAAAATTGGAGTCAGATATGAGTTAAATTTAAGGTAAATCAACATTGTGCACTGGAAAGACCGAACAGGCATTGAACCTTCATCCACCAGTGGACACCGGCATTGGGCCAACTGGGTGGACCTTACACATGCCATCCCATATTACTCTCTTACGTGCCTATGAATGGAAGTTTAGGGGAGAAAAGTCCAGTGTAACCCCAGCTTAAGTGCATGTGAATGGTTTCTTTCCAGTGTGGATCCTTATGTGTAGATTAAGGTGTGATGAGCTGATAAAACTCTTCCCACACTGAGTGCATACGAATGGTTTTTCTCCAGTGTGGATCCTCATGTGTTTACTAAGGTTTGATGAGCAGTTAAAACTCTTTTCACACTGAGTGCATGTGAATGGTTTCTCTCCAGTGTGGATCCTCATGTGCTGATTAAGAGATGATGATTTGCTAAAACTCTTTTCACACTGAGGGCATGTGAATGGTTTCTCTCCAGTGTGGATCCTTATGTGGTGATTAAGGTGTGATGAGCAGCTGAAACTCTTCCCACACTGAGTGCATGTGAATGGTTTCTCTCCAGTGTGGATCCTTATGTGGTGATTAAGGTGTGATGAGCAGCTGAAACTCTTCCCACACTGAGTGCATGTGAAGGGTCTATCTCCAGTGTGAATACCGATGTGGTGATTAAGGGATGATGATTTGATGAAATTCTTTCCACATTGAGTGCACGTGAATGGTTTCTCTCCAGTGTGAATCCTCATGTGGTGATTAAGGGATGATGATTGACTAAAACTCTTCCCACACTGAGTACATGTGAATGGTTTATCTCCAGTGTGGATCCTCATGTGTAGTTTAAGGGATGATGATTTGATGAAACTCTTGCCACACTGAGTGCATGTGAATGGTTTCTCTCCAGTGTGGATCCTCATGTGTAGTTTAAGGGATGATGAGCGGATAAAACTCTTCCCACACTGAGTGCATGTGAATGGTTTCTCTCCAGTGTGGATCATCATGTGTTGATTAAGGCTTGATGAGCAGCTGAAACTATTCCCACACTGAGTGCATGTAAATGGTTTCTTTCCAGTGTGGATCCTCGTGTGTTTATTAAGGTTTGATAAGCAGTTAAAACTCTTCCCACACTGAATGCATGTGAATGGTTTCTCTCCGGTGTGGATCCTCATGTGGTCATTAAGGTGTTCTGATCGGTTGAAACTCTTCCCACACTGAGTGCATGTGAATGGTTTCTCTCCAGTGTGGATCCTCATGTGATTCTCAAGAATGTATTTTCTTCCAAAACTCTTTCCACACTGAGTGCAGGTGAAACGATTCTTGTCTTTCCTTTTCAAAATTTCATCAGTCTGTAAATGAGTGTTTTCCTCAATTTTGACATGATGTTGCTCCTCTTTACTCCTCTCATTCTCTTCAATTAAGTCTGAAATAAATAAATAAAACATTAGTTTTCATTAAGTCTTAAAAAACTCATCAAAAGCTGAAAAGTGAAAAGACACAGGAAACATTGGCTACACACACTGTAATTTTGATGCACATTAAATATAAAATAAATCAGATCATATTTTGTTCGGTCTATTAACGTGTACACATTGAGATTTAATTCATCTTTATTTATCTAGTGCTTTTACAATGTAAAAGTCGTTTAACAGAAGTTCTAGTGAATTGAACCTGTCAGTCCAGTTTTCAGAGTTTCTCATAAAAGTCATTTTGGTCATATTGATAAGACAGAGATTAAGGGTGCTTTCACACTAGGGGCTCTATTTTGACGCTCCATGCGCAGAGCGCAAAACGCAGGGCGCAAACGCTTTCAGGGCATGTCAGAACGCATTTTTGCTATTTTAAGGATAGGAAAATCCGCTTTGCGCCGTGGCGCATGGTCTAAAAGGGTTGAGTTTATTTTCTTAATGAGTTATAGGTGTGTTTTGAGAATAAACCAATCAGAGTCTTATCTCCCATTCCCTTTAAAAGCCAGTTGCTTATGCGCATTTGCTATTTACATGATGTAAAAACTGAGCATTTCATTAGTAAGAAAACAGTTAAACAGAGCATCTACTGCACGAGAATGAGAGATAAATGATCTACTTTCACTTTCGCTCTTGGATAGGGAAACCTTTACGCACAGACATCAATTAGCCTATTAATAATTCATTTTGTTTGTTAAGCGCAAAGATTTGTTTCAAAACTATTTATAAATTCAGTTCTAATTTCCAGCAAACGAATAAATGAACAATAATAACAACAAGGTGTGGTCAAAATACTGAGTTATTTCCAAATACACCTGCTGTGCCCCATATGGTCTTAAACCTGACAGGTGGACAAATCTAAGCTTGTTTTGAATAAAACAAATATAAATATGGATATAATAAATAATACTGCTATAAAATAATAACATTACACAAAAGCAAATTGAATGAACTAAAAAGCCTCCCGAGATGAAGAAAGTATGGAAGCAGTGGTTTTTAAATTCATGTAGGCTAGAAATTAATATGTTTTGTAATATTTTAATTATTTATATTTATATCCTATATATATCCTTAATATATTATATCTTTTTCATATGTAAAGATATTTGTGTATCGCTCTACATCTTGTTTGTATTAAGCAGTGTGTAAGCCAGGCGCACTTTGCACCAGACAATAGACCGACTTTGTTCTGGTCTAAAGAACAGACTATTCACAGTTTCTGAAAATAGCAACGTGCCAAAACACGCCTGCTTTTTTAGACCAGAAAGCCTATGGGCGCAACATAGACTGTAAAATATATGGACGTAGTATCTGTGACATCACCCATAGATTTCTAAAGAGCGCAAAAGAAGCCACAAGTAGGCGCGGCCAACCGTCGCCATTTTGTTCGCGCATCATCACACCCACGGCGGGATACCAAACAAGGGCAAAGAGGTGGAGAGTGAGCGGAGCAACAGACGCATGCTGGCATTTAGCTTGGACCTAGTTCAGACACACTTTACTTTGGGAGAACGCTTAATACTTTATTACCTGTGACTCGTTTGTATTCTGACCACTTGTGCTTGGTTGTAAACTATATCAATAAAGTGTTTAGACTTTTAAAAACACTGCTGTAATACATTGAGCCACTAAACATTGTTCTTATGACATTTTTCAACAGGAGGAAAACGTGAATTACTTCCAAACACTTCAGATATAGTTTGTGTTAAAGTAAGACTATTGATGAAATCCAGCATAACACTGTATGACAGCGCTTCAGATGACTGTTCTAGAGCCTACAGCTAATCAATCTGACATATTCTGCAGTGCATTACAGCTCTAAATATAAATATAAACAATAAATGATCTTAAATAAAACAAATACATGTATAGAGATGGTATATAAGTATTAAAGGATTCGGATTTCTGCTTTCCAATTCGTCTCATCATGGACCAACGTTTATCCTTTTCATCATCCTGTTTCTCAGTATTTAACTGTGAATTGATTTTAACTAATAAATAAGTTAAAACTGCTTACTGCAAGAATGTTCTATGTCCTTGTTTCTCTTTTTGCCTGTCTAGTTTAACTTTGTTTTCAGGAAACACACAAACCAGGTCATAGGTCATGGAGATCTCTCTCTCTCTCCCCATCTGTTCCTATGACTGGAGATCCAATACAGAGGAGAAGACACCTGTTCTAGTTGTCCTGATATTGTCTATAATATTATAGCTGTTTGATTGATCTGTTTTTGAGTATAATTAATTTTAATGTAATTCCTTTTTGTGTGGAGATAGACTGTGTGTAGTAAAGATATTGCAGCAGACTGTTGATGGAAACAGTCTCGAACCAGCCTGATAACACAGCTGAACGTACAAGAAACATCCTTGAGTCTTTAACACAGATGGTCATTTGTGTCTATTGTTTTCCTGGTTTAGCTTTTTACAGGTCGCAGATCAGCTCCTAATAACTTAGGGCGACCTCACCTCTAGGCATCAGGTCGCCATCCATATCTGGAGACAGATACAATGCTTTCTTTGACGCACAAATTAATGCCATCCATATCTGGAAGTAAATACTATGTTTCTTTGACGCATGATAAATAAAGGGGCTAAGTGAACAGAGAAATGAATTAATGAAAATGCTTTTGTTAAAGCATCTTGAAAAACACTAATATACCCGCTGAGCTATAGAGATAATTAATTTGAACAGTTGTTATTACCGTTTGGAAATTTCTTGTCTTGTCTTCAGCGGTTTATTACTGTTTGTAACTTTTGTCTTATCCTTAGTCTTCACCATCACATACAGAGCCTGATGGCTATACTGAGGTAGCAGACCCTGACACTGAATAGATCAGGGTGATATCTAAACTCCCTGTATAATCTCAGCTTGATATTCAGTTGATTTAAGTGTTTGATTAACCTGTCTCAATGTTTAAATTCTAGTAGGTAGTCTCAATGGCTTTCATGGTTCTTGACTGCGCTTTCCCAAGTTTGCAGAAAATTCTGAATCAAGGAGGAAGCCTGCACAGGAGCTTGCAGTGTGAGTGGCAGTTGACCGGTGGGCACGAAGGGGGGTTCCCTAAGACGGGTAAGATTTTCCCTTGGCCAAAGCAAAAAACAACCTAAGGCATGGGACCCCTCGTAAACCCCGGGGCATCTACCCGAAAAGGGGGATGTTTAATGTGAAAGATGGTGCTGGACTGGGGTGATGCTCTATCGGCCTAAAGCATCCTTAGAGGGGAACTGTTTGAAGTTAAAGTAATCTGCCTCAGTGGCCCCGTCCAGACCTGATCACGAGAATCCTGCCTTTATTGAGGACATGTCTGTCCTTGTGACAAGCATCAACAGACTATGCCAGGGTATGATACCCTGAAGGAGATGATTGGTAAAAAGATTATGGCAATGGGCTGTCAAGAACCATTGGAGACAGTAAAGTTTCTTAAAATTTTACCAATATCAATGTGGTTGGCTGCTTTAACAGCACTGGATATTTTATATATCCAGAATCGTTACAATTAGTTGTCAATCTATCAAACCAGCTTTCAGTTACTATTATTGTCACTTACAAGCCCCCAAATGTCAGTGCGGCTACATACTTAATGCAGCTTGCTGACATGATAAAATGTGTTAAAAATAAGGAGCTTGTAATTCTAGGTGACATTAATATGAACTGGATTGACAACTCATCCAAATCTTTGAAAGCCTTAGCTATAAAATTGGGCTTACATCAATTAATTAAGACTCCAACTAGATTTGGTAAAACCCGTAATTCTATTTTGGATCTTATATTTACAAACCAGCCAACTAAGTATGGTATATCTGGAGTAATTCACACCTCTGTTTCCGACCATTCACTCATATATGTCATAAGGAAAACTTTTAAACACCCAAGAACCCATAAAAACAATTATACATCAAAAATACCAAACTCCAAATTTAATGCTGAATTTGGAGATACTGATTGGAGTAATGAGATGTTATTGTCAAATCCTGACTACATCCTGGCAAATTTTTATAGCAAAGTGGAGGAAATACGGCAAAAGTATACAACTACTTGCAAAATGTATGTCAGACACAACAAAGTACCTTGGGTAAATTCTGAAATTTTACAACTTTTAAAGAAAAAAAGCATCCTCTCTGAAGGCATACAGATTTTCTAAAACACATGAAAATAGGCTTATTTTTAGTCAATACAGAAATAAATGTTACTCTGAATTGCGTAAAGCTAAACAACTCTATTTTCAAAATCAAGTTAATCAAGCTGCTACCAACCCAAGAGTACTATGGCACACTATTAAATCTATAACTGGTGAAAATAGTTTAAAAAATAACAATAACTTACAAATATCTATAAATTGTACTCTTCTCACTGATCATGAAAAAATTGCTAACTCATTCAATGAGTATTTTATTTCATCTGTACAAGAGCTGTCTTCTAAATTTTTAGCTTCTCCAGTGCTTCAAGTACCACCAAATACATGTCAACAGTTTTCTTTTTCTGAGATTTCGCAAAGTGAGTTATCTGATATTTTGAACTCTTTTAGAATTTCTCATGCCTGTGATGTAAACAACTTAAACATGCATTTTATGAAAACTCATGCTAGTACTCTTGTACCACTTTTCCATCATTTAGTTAATTTGTGTATTAGGCTCCATAAATTCCCTGACACCTGGAAAACTGCTCAGATTATTCCAATATTCAAATCTGAGGACCCAACTAGTGTCTCTAATTGCCGGCCAATCTCAATTCTCCCTACATTTTCTAAGTTACTTGAAAAGGCATTGTATAATCAGTTAATTGTTTATCTTGA